AATGATGGGTTAACTGTAAGAAGGTGGGTGAGTGTGGCTATGGGTAAGCATGTGATGGTGGGTGAATATAAAAGGATTGGTAAATATGTAATTCAGTGGGTGGGGCCTGCCTTTTCATGCTTAATCCTAAGCCAACAATAGCAACCAACCTAACCCTCACAACAGAGGGCATAACGCATGGCGATCAGCGACCCGATAGGAGCCTGATTACCTCTTCTTTTATCCTGCGGCCCGGTGAGCATCTGGCAGCATCTATTCTTCTGTCCCGCAGGTGCCCTAAAGCAGTTGAAGATGCACACACACCATTGACCGGCAGGGGTAATCCCGGTCCCCCATTGGAAGCCTTTATGTGGTTGAGGCTCAGGGTGAAGCTACATGGGTGTAGAAACCCAAGGTAACTTACCCAATATGGCAGATGACTTGTGCAACATGTGTGCAGATCACCTCGATATCCTGGCCAAACTGGATAAATTATTTGCTGACTTATGGCAGAAACTGGAGTGCAAACTGCATCAACCTACCCCAATACAGAAGAGTGGCTTTCAACCCAGACGAATGTCTCTCTAGAAGCTTACAGCTCTAGCAGCTCTGAAGGCACTAAAATGGCGTCAGAGAGCGCACAGCGTACCACTACTCACCAAGGTGACCCAGAGACAGTTCTTGTGGTGGTGTACAGCTGAGGCCTGGGAAGTGTCAGAAGAAGAGCGTCGTGCCCTTGGCCTACACTAACCTTCCCACTCCTGGACATGGAAGCCTACAGTGTCCCTCCCTGTTGCGGGACTTTGTTCTGCCCACAGAGTGCATAGGATGAATCAAGCTTCAGGCTGGACATATCCATAATCCAGGATTAATTCCTGTTCCCGTACTCGTTGAGCACACAAGGGGGCTTATCTGTCCTAATGTCTAATCCTTCAAATTTTTTGTTTTGCGATACTACTATTTGTTTCCCTAGAATTCCTCTCATCACTTATCTCACTATTCGCTTTACCATTATGGGAGTCTCCTAGGGGAATTACCTTCATAAATTGTTATTATCTCTTTTGTTCTCGCACTGACCACTCCGCAATGACCAAGCTTAGTGCATATTGCTTGTATATTCACTATCTTATCCACTGTCTTAAGCTACACTGTGTTCCTCCTATTTTTCTCTAAATATGTGCTGATATATATATATATATACACTGCTTTACCTTGAGAAATAAATTATTTGCAATGTTTTCAGTATATAATCTACTTCTGTTATGCTTAAGCACAAAAAATGTTAAAATTTGTAAAAATTATTTTTTTTTAAAAACAAGCTTCCAGTTTTTGGTAATTTTATTAACTATTATATTAAATATGGAAATCGAAGGAAAAGCCAGTACTTCAGAGAGAGCTTGGAAAGAGTGCGGCAAAGCCATGTCTGATGGTTAGGGCCGGCATTGAGAGTCCAAAGATCCAATAAGCAAGTCAAGGGTTAGAAATACTGTAATCAAATATAGTAGTAGGTAGTGAGCTGGAACAGAGAATTGATCAAAGAGAAGCAGTAGCAGAATGTTAGGCCTCTGGTAAAATGGCTCCAGAATCTGTAAGCACTTGGCTTAGAGTTTTCTGGCAGTTTATAGGTTGATCTTGAAATCTAGATAGAATAGGGTTCATCCTGATTGTTGGATAAATTATGAGCATTGCAAGCATTTTGGAAGGGTCTGCAAGGAGCAGGAAGGGTCTGCAAGGAGATGGAAGGGTCAGCAAGGAGCTGGAAGGTAAAGCAGCACAATGGTAAAGTAGAAGGAGCAGAAAGGGTCAGCAAGGAGCTGAAATGGCAGCAAGGAGCAGGAAGGGACAGAAGGAGCACAAAGGTGAAGTAGGAGAAGGAACAGAAATGAGCAGGAAGGGGCAGCAAGGAGTAGGAAGGTTCAGCAAGGAGAAGGAAGGGTTTGCAAAGAATCAGAAGGAGCACAAAAGTAAAGTAGGAGAAGGAGCAGAAAGGGTCTGCAAGGAGCAGAAAGGGATCAGAAAGAGAAAGGAGCAGAAGGGGGAGCACAATAAGCAGAAAGTAGCAGAAAGGTGAAGGACCCAAAGAGGAGAGAAGTCAGTGTCAAAAGAAAAGAAGACTGTGTTAAATGAAGGAGAAGAAAAGGAGATTGGAGCAGGAAGGACAAGTGAAGTGAACCCTCCACTTTATTCTGGACACCACATCATAAGGCTTTGGTACCTGGGCCTGGCAGGGAAACTTTGGACCTCCTCATCTCCCCAGGTAAAAAAAAATATCGGTGTTAATGTGTTCACTTTTATTTACTGAGTGTCAGGAAGCACAGAGGGCTGCTGGGGAGGGGTGTCGCTGATTGGCTAGAGCGGTCAGCTGGCACTCTAAGCCAATCAGTAGCTCCCCATTCATAAAAAAAGTTTAAAAAAATTATGAACTGGGAACTAGCGATTGGCTTAGAGCGTCAACTGACCACTCTAGCCAATCTGTAGTACCCATGCCTGACGTCAATCTGCACTTCCTGACACTTCGTTTCAGAAGCCGAATACCACTGAGCGACCTGGAAATCTGGAGCTGGAGGAAGCCTTTGTGGTTACACCGTTTGAGAGCGGTTTAACCCCTTAAAGGAAAGAGAGCACCCAGTGGCTTCCTGGCATCATAGCATTTTCATTTAGATGAAGTTGTTATGGTGACCAGAATGTTCCTTTAATTTGCTTAAAGGAACACTATAGTGTCAGGAATACAAACATGTATTCCTGACACCATAGTTGTGAAAACACTATTCACCCTGGCTTTATATGATTATGACTATGCTCCTCCCCTTCATGACACTGTCAAAAAAGGAACAAGCATAGATGTCATTACAATTATGCCCCCCCCCCGGAAAAATTCCTGCGGACGTCCATGCCCTCCACTGCTTAAATGTACAAGCATCACTTTGAGAAATTTGTCTCATCCAAAAGCTTCACTTTGAGAGAGACACAGTTGCCTCACTCTGCAGGCTGTAAATATTATTTTTCCATATTCACCTGCTTCTGCTTTCCACACCCACTCCAGGGGGCTCTGATATAAACAATCAGTGTCCAATCCTTAGTATTGCTGGAAAAGTGCATTCACCTTGCAACATCCTGACAGGGTAAGACATAAATTAATCTTATCAGTGTCATTATGTAGAGCAGGTTGTAGTGTTGGGTTTTTCTCTGCTGCTGCACAATTATGCCCTTTTCTGTCAGTAGTGGACTGGACTGAAATTGAGAAGGGTTGGTAAGAGGGGAAAGGGCTATAGAAACTCACCTAGCTGAGAGGCGTGCCTATTTAAGCAATCTGACCAAGTTCATAGTAAGTTAATAAATGTTTATTTTAACTTACTTTTTACAAATTTTCTTGTTTTATTTTGGTTTGTATATTTGTTCAAAAGTGTTGGTTTGCTATTCTAAAAAATAATTGTCAAGTGATAATGTTTCCAGGAACAGAAGGAGATAACCCGCTGGAGAGGTCATGTGTGACTCTTTACCAGAGTTTAATAATTACACTAAATCTACAGTAAGCAAGGTTTTTGAAAAACAATTGCCAGTTTCCTGCATGGTGACCGGTATGATGACACGTCCTGGTTTCTCTCATTCTGAACATCCAGTAATTAAATAAGTGCTCTTCACCCCTTAAGTCATTTACCTCAAGCCGAGATGAACACAGTTCACATAGGGAAGATTTACTGGCCTCTACACAAAATTGTATTAATCTCCAAAATGCTTTAATTAATCTTCTAAATTGAATATTAATTCACTCCATAGAGGAATATTGTTGAGGTTTTTTGGGGGGTTCACTTTAGAAGGTGTTACCATATGTAGGGGTATATCTTCTAAAGCCACCAGCAGATGCTCACTGTTATGGTGAACCCATGGGGATGAGATCATTAAATTATCAGGGAAAAGACCTTGTCACTGGTCCACACGTGGCCAGTGGGTGGTTAGTTTCACCCATATTTAATGTTTTTCTCCGAAACACAGACACCACCTGGAGTGTTTATTGCACCTCCTTCAAAGTTCCATTTTCACACGCCACAATAAAAGGCAATTGGAGGATCCGCACACAGAGCCAGTCATCACAGCGGACTCCCAGCAATGTCATAATGCAATTCGTCATGCACCTGGACAAGACGGGAGTCATGGCAGCAGTCAGGAACTCACCCTCACTGAACTCCGAGCAACACACGTTAGAATTTTACAACGACCTATCCAGACCTACGATGCTCTGGAGACAATCAATGCGCTCGGTTACAGGAGTGCTGCGGGCCAAGAACATTCCATACCACTGGAGCACAACACGCTCCTTACATGTCACCAAAGACGGGACAGTTCACAAGCTTAATTCCCCAGCAGAGGGCCAACATTTCCTACTCAACATAAGACTGTCTCCCTCAGAGGACCAACAGCGGAATGGTCCACAAGGATACCACTGGGTAGATAACATCATTCCATATGCACCAAGAGGGGCTCCCGCTACATCCAACTAAGGGCCCGGAAGGCTGACTCAGTGGATCTGTAGTTGTCTGGCATCACTGATGTGCTATCTGCTCATTCTCTGATGTGCTTAACAGTACAAGTTATGTTATATAGTTAATAGCTGGTTAGAAGTTTCCGTTCCCATCTCTAATTATTTTTGTTAAGTTCATCTCATAACCTAATCAAGTACCAAAGTACTGCACTATAAGCCCCCACCGTCCCTGGACGAGACCCCGTAAGCTGATAGCAATACAAGCATACGGGACGACTACTGTCCTTCCAGCCCGCAGCCAAGACCTGACATACTCATAGTCCTCTGAGCCAGCACCAAAGCAGACACAGCTCGCTATTTGTCCTCCGGGAGGCATAACCACCTAGCAAAGCTAGTGGGTATGCGGCAGCCTCCCAGAGTCAAATGCCAGAGCTGAAAAGGCTCGCGCTGTGCATCTGCACAGCAACAGCCTTTCAGCCAATCAGGTAATCAGGAGAGCCGTGCTGAGCGCGGGAATCCTGATTACCTCAGATTTTTTAAAATGGCATCATTGATGGAGGACTCTATTTCTGTGTCTGCCACAGATTTAGTGGATGCCTCTCTTAAAGGCAGCCCCATCAATGTTAGAAAGCTCCATAAGAGAGCTTTCCTTGCCAGGGATCTATCCTCTTCATCATCTGAGGAGGATTTGGTCCCAGTTTTAAATAAAAAGCATAAAGGAAGACGGCTGGTCTCTTCCGCCAGTTCCTCGTCTGAGGAAAACTTCTCCGCTCCTCCTTCCCCTCATACTCGTTTGAGTAAGCGAAAATTTAAGGGGACAGGACCTCAAAAAAGGAATAGCGTGTTTCCCTCGTTTGAGCACCAGAAACACCTCCCAGAGGAAAAGGGCAAATCTCGTTGGAGGTTAGATAGTCCCTCTCCTTCCTCTTCTAGAGCGTTCGCTCACTCTTCTTCCCAAAGCCGTCCCAGTTCCAGATACGGCTCTCCAGAAATAGACTGGGAATCCGAGGAAGTGGTTCGTTCAGCAGCTTCCACTGAGCGAGGGAAGCTAAGCAATGTTCAGATGGCCAGAGTAAGTCTCCTAGGAAAGACTCTCCCATCAAAATTATTTCACTCCAGATGGGCTATGGAGCACGATTCCGAGGTTAGAGATTTTGCTAAACTAGCCTTCAGATCCCCCTTGGTTAAGGAAGATGACCTTCTCCTCAGGAACCACATCGGTATCCCGGACATTCAGGCTCTAATGGCCCCAGAGGTAGACCCTTCGCTGTTATCCATCACAGGGAGCAGCGTATCCTCTGATCCCACAGACCAGACTTTTCGCAATATACAGTTTAAAATTGCTGATGCTGTGGGACCACTATTACTGATGCTGGATAAAGCAGAAAAAGAAGGCAATGCTCAGAAACCTTCCACTTCATCCCTGTTAGCATCTAAGATGGCCCTTTTAAAAGCGTCTGGCAGGGCAGTGCTAATTATTGGCCAATCCTTTAATTACATTTCAAACATCCGCAGATCCCGCTGGCTCCATGCAGCTGGTCTGTCCGACCTAGCCCCCAAATCGCATGAGTTCCCAAATTTGGAGGATTCTTACCTATTCGGTCCCTCGTTCATTCAGGAGGTTAAAGGCCGTTACAAGGCAAGGAGATCCTTTTCAGAACTCAAGAAGTCCGTCCCTGGCTACAAGAAGCCCTTTCGGACGGAGGGTCGCCCCTATAGGGCTGCAGGAGCGTCCCGAGAAGCCTCTCACCAGGCCCAGTACCGCCACTACAGTGGAAGACATAAGCTCCCAGGCGGCGGCAGAGGAGCGCATTCCAGAGGCGGTTCAGCTTCCAAAAGGAAACCCATGCATTCAAGTAAGTGTGCCTCCTCATATGCCACTAAATTGGAAGGATATTTCCTCAGACAAATGGGTTCTAAAGATCTTTCAAAGGGGTTTACAACTCCCCCTGTTAAGGTTCCCAGTCCAGAAATTTGCACCCCACAGAGAGGTGAACCCAGTGCTAGATGCCTCCCTTTCCTTAGCTTTAAGTCAAGGAAAAATAGAGTTGGCAGACATGTCTATTACAGGATGGGTCAGCCCATTGTTCCCAATCCCAAAGTCAGACGGTTCCTGGAGACCGGTCCTAAATGTGAGGCCTCTGAACGCTTTCATCAAAAGGAAAAGGTTCAGGATGGAGAGTCTATCAGATCTTCCAGGCTTAGTTCAGAAAGCCTTTTTCTGCATAAAAGTAGACCTAAAAGATGCCTTCCATTCAGTCCCCATAGCCAAGAAACACAGGCGTTTTCTCAGGTTTCAGTGGAAAGGAAAGGTGTGGCAGTGGACTGTTATGGTGTTTGGCCTCTCCAACGCACCATACACATTCTCCAGAATTATGAAATCAGTGATAGCTCATGTCAGACTAAAAGGTTTCATGTGTCTATACTACCTAGACGACATCCTGCTCATGCACCCAGATGGGGAAGCCCTTGCTTCTCAAAGGGATTACCTTGCTTCCCTTTTACAAGACCTAGGATTCGTAGTAAATCTACAGAAATCAGTCCTAATTCCCACTCAAAGCATCCTCTTTCTGGGTTTCATACTGAACACCAGGACTATGTCCCTTGGAATCCCTCAAGACAAATGGGACAAATTATTGGTACATCTGAACTCATCTCTCAAGCACCAGAGTTGGTCCTTGAGAGACCTAGCAAAGATCATAGGGAAATTAATAGCTTTAACACCAGCATACAACAATTCCCCCTTACTTTGCAGAAGAAGTCAGCTGTTTTTAGGGAACCGACTGAGACAGGGTGGCCATTGGGAATCAAAATTTGTTCTCCCCAAGAAGGTCAGAGAAGAATTGAAGTCCATTCTGGAGTTAGAAATTCTATTTCCTCGTCCACTGTTAGAGCAGCCTGCGACAGTCACTCTGACGTCAGATGCCTCAAGTCACGGTTGGGGTGCGTTTACAACCCAAAACGCCATAAGAGGAATCTGGTCAGACCAAGAGAGTCACCTCCATATAAACATCTTGGAGTTACGAGCTATAAAATTAGCTCTCAAGGGCCTAGTTCCTCTAAACGAGTCACCGACATTGGTAAAAGTCCATTCGGACAACAGGACAGCGGTGGCTTATATAAACCACAGAGGGGGTACAAGATCAAGGGGTCTTTGCTTAGAGGCTCTAGATCTTTGGTCCTGGGCCTTAGCAAGCAATGTTCAGGTTTTCGCAGAATATGTTCCGGGAGAGGCGAACGAGCTTGCAGACTCTCTCTCTCGCCAAAGTTTGTCCCTGGCAACGATCCAATTAAAGATTGCTCTTTTCCAAAAGATAGAAAGCAATTTTGGCCAGAGACAGGTAGATCTGTTTGCATCCCAAACATCCGCTCAAACTCCCAGGTTCGTCTCCCGGACCTGGACAAAGGGAGCTTGGAAAATGGATGCAATGTCTTTCCAATGGACGGATGTTCCAGCCCCTTATGCTTTCCCCCCTCCATCTTTACTGATGAAAGTGCTGGAGAAGATCCGCAGGGACAGGGTGCAGAGCTTAGTTCTCGTTTACCCAGTATGGACCTCCAGACCCTGGTATCCCTTGATCCATCAGTTAGTCAAGGGAACCAAGATCCCATTAGGCATGACAGTGGACTGCTTTCAGGGAACCAGCGATCTTCTGCTCAAGCTCCCGCAGCTGATGTGGATCGCAGCCCTGGTAGGCTGTTAACACATCCCCACTTATCGGACCAGGTCTTGGATATTATTAACTCATCTTTAAGACGTAGAACTAGGGTAAGATATAGAAAGATGATCGAGGAATTCAAAGAATGGGAGGTTTCTTTTCTGTCTAACACACAAGGATCTGATACCATTCCTTTGGCGTTAGAATTTCTTACCCTTAAGTTCCATTCTGGTTTATCTGTCAGTTCAATCAAGACCTACGGATCTGCCTTAAACTTCCTGATCCCCAACCTTACTCAGGATGCCCTGTATTTGAGATTACTAAAAGGGTTAGCCGTCTGCCGCCCATATACCCCACGCTACACATCTACTTGGGATGTAGATGTCTTATTAAATTTCCTAAAGTCTTTGGATAATGCTAAAATTGATTTAAGATGGACTGCTATTAAGCTGGCTTCTCTGCTGTCCTTGGCCCTGGCAGCTAGAGGAGCAGAGTTAACTCAGATCCATATTTCAGAACCTTGGTTGTCCAGGACCCCGGGAGGTTTCCATATTATACTAAAAGGCAGACAAAAAACATCCCATTTTTCTCCTGGTCCGGTAGAATTGGACTTGGTCCAAGATTCTTCCGAACCAGGCTTATGTTTAGTCAGTTTGTTACAATCGTACCTTCAACTTTCTGCTGGATTTAGAAACGATATCAGTCAATTATTCATTACATCAAGGAATCCCTTTCGTCCAGCCAAGGTTAATACAATTAGAGGCTGGATACTTTCCGCCATGTCTACGGCTGGAATTGATGTTTCAGTGTTCAAAAGCCATTCAATTAGGGGAGCCTCGGCTACTAAAGCAGCAGGAAAGGGCCTTCCTCTAGCTACTATCTTAAAAGCTGCAAGATGGTTGTCCAGTAAAACCTTTGTTAGATTTTACTGGAGGCCATCAGAAGTTGAACGCCTTCAGTTTCTTAGGACCACCACCAGGTGTGTGCTATTCTACCCACTAGCTTTGCTAGGTGGTTATGCCTCCCGGAGGACAAATCAGAGTTTGCAGGAATCTATGATCTGCAAACTTTCTTTGTCTTAGGGATGAGCATAACCACCTAGCAATAGCGCCCGTCCCACCCTCCTCCTAGTTAAGGGTTTTGCCTGCTGGTGGTAGTTGGTTTTTCTAAAACATAAGGTTATCTGGTGATTATTCAACCTTTTGATAACTGTTCTCTGTTTTGTTTTTTACAGACTATAGCCGTACTCCAAGACAAGACCAACAAACCAAGGATCCACCTAAGTAGAAGGATTGGATGCAAGTAGTCTCGTCGGTTTAATATTCTCATGGACTCCCTGCATAAAGATTATGTCTGCTGGGACTTGTTTCAACATTTCTTGTCTCTTTATTGAACTTATTTTGTTGCAACTTACGTTGAATGTTTCCAGTGGTCTTTGGATACTTTCCTTTGGCACACATTGTTGCCTTGTTTTTCAGTTCAGCTGTTTTATACAAAGTTTCAAGTCTATCTTGTATGTCTCCATGACTTATTAAATATTTTCTTGTTCCCCTGTACTATTGGCATCTTGAATTATTTTATTTTGTGTTTAGAAGTTTAATTATATTCCTGTACACTGTGGGAAATATTTATCCTTAGTATTTCATGGGATGTGCTAACCATCCGCAGTTTCCCAATTTTAAAAAATCTGAGGTAATCAGGATTCCCGCGCTCAGCACGGCTCTCCTGATTACCTGATTGGCTGAAAGGCTGTTGCTGTGCAGATGCACAGCGCGAGCCTTTTCAGCTCTGGCATTTGACTCCGGGAGGCTGCCGCATACCCACTAGCTTTGCTAGGTGGTTATGCTCATCCCTAAGACAAAGAAAGTTTGCAGATCATAGATTCCTGCAAACTCTGATTTATCTCTCCTCGCCAAACAGCACCACAAGTACTTTATTACTAGCCCGTATGTATGTTATTATCCTGTTTTGTTTTTCTCTCTCCTTATAAGGCAGGATACAGCCTCTAACGCTCCCCCAGAAAACTGAGAGAGGCATGGCAGGGAAACCATACGCTCCCAAAAGCGTTGAGATCCATAGACACCCTCAGGCTGTTAAAAAGATACCGCCGTGACTCCCTTACAAAGGCTCGTATAGGTCACGATAACCTGGCACACAAGCCCCTACCCCGCAATCTAAGCAACAGCTGTCACTGCACCTGGAGCCGAATTGCTTTTAGCCCGTACCATAGAACAGAGAAGTTATCTCTCTAGTAGACCCACTCTGAACCCAGGACACAGCAATAATATAAACGCGCTTGCTCTTGCTAAATTGAGCACAGGTTTAAGCTTCAACTATTGTCTATTATTTGTTAAGAAATGTGCACACAGAGCTAACTTATTTAATCTTATTTAATTAAAAATGTGGATACTATTTACTTGCTCATTTTATCTTATGTTTGCGCATTACCACAACAAAAATAAAGAATATATTTTAAAAAAGACAATTGGAGTAACTGTTGTTGAGAAATGACAAAAGTATTATTTATTTCATCTTAAATCTTTGGCTGACATCTCATAACATCACATAACAAGCTTATCACAGAAAATGATACGTCTTTAACACTCAGAGTAACACACACACACACACACACACACACTGCCAGGCACACTACTAACTACAAACAAACACACACTTGCCAGACAGACACGCACTTTGGAATACATTCTTTACATGTTTTACATACTACAGGAAGATTTAATCGTCTAAGTTATGTAATCATTTGCTCCAAAGTGTGACTCCTTTTGCATTTATTTGTGGCTTCCTGTGTGCTAGGAGGAAGTGATCTGACATTAAATCCTCCTGGTGCTGCCCATGTGTAAAAGAGAATCCCAGAGTGCTCTTAGGTAAGTGGACTGCTCCAAGGGAGAACTTTAACTTGCTTTGGTTGGTGAGATATTTCCACCTCCCCAATTGGACCTTTGTTGACCATCTGACTTGAGCAGGTGCCATACCAGAGTATTGTCTGTACCCACCATTGATTGTCCCCTTCCCCGCTTAAAATGGCCAATTAATTCTGCGAACTTCTGATTGAGTTATGTCATATCCCTGAGTTTGTTTGAGGCCTGACTTCAAATAGAGGAAAGAGGACAAACCTATCCATAAGGCACTTAGAGCGACCCTTTCATTATCAGCCATAACAACATTGCAGGATTATACACTCTGCATCAGTTCAAAGTTCTTCTAGCTCCAGTGTTTTACAAATTACTCCAACTTTAAGTTGGTACTCTGGCACATAAACAGCAAAGAAGAATATTTAGTTTTTCCTTTGCTTTGTTAAAGGGACACGCCAGCCACCCAGACCACTTCTGCCCATTGGAGTGGTCTGGGTGACAACTCCCACTACTCTTAACCCTGCAAGTGTAATTATTGCAGTTTTTTCTAAACTGCAATAATTACATTGCAGGGTTAACTACACCTCTAGTGGCTGTCTAATAGACAGCCACTAGAGGGCACTTCCGTGCTAAAGCGTTGCTGGATGTCCTCACGCTGTGTGAGGACCTCCAGCGTCGCTCAATTCCCCATAGGAAAGCATTGAAAAGCATTTCAAATGCTTTCCTAAGGGGAACTCTAATGCGCATGTGCGGAGTTTCCCTTTAATTGTGTCCAATTGTTCATCAGGCATCTGCACACCATGCATGTAAAGAGAACTAAGCTAAGACAATGCACACACATGAACAAAAAGATCAGACCCTGAAGACCAGAATGCATGCCCCAATGGTTGCACATATACAAACTGTTGTAATTCCTACACCGTTCACCTGATTTGGATGTAAATACCCTCAAATTAAAGCTGAAAGTCTGCAGTTAAAGCACATCTTCATTTCATTTCAAATCCATTGGGGTGATATATAGAGCCAAAAAGATTAGAATTGTGTCGATGTCCCAATATTTATGGACCTGACTGTATATATAAACAAATTAAACCAAGCATGGCTAGAGTTGCACTCACCTGAACATGCGTATATTATAGGGTGCTGCTGGGGCCAATTTATACAACATACAAAATACACAATCCAGCGCACTCGCTCATTCACTAAACAGTGATTTTAAGTCTCACAGATTGTAATAGTTTTATTTAAAATCACCTCACCTAGTTACAGTATATGATCATACATTGCGTACACTTGCCAAAATGTCAATATTCCCCATTCTTGGCAGGTCCAGCAGACATTAGGCTGCTGGATAAGCTGGGAGTGTCTGCTGGTCTCACTGAGCTGTAGTGGAGGAGGAGTGTGGCACCAGGTAAGAAGTAAATTATTTCTAAAATGGTTTCAAGCCTTCCAATGAGACAGGGGGCCCCAGGGAACTCCTGGCACCATAACCACAACAACTTGCTGTAGTTGTTAGAATGCTTGGTGTTCCTTTAATCCTTCTGAGTTCAATAAAATAAGTACCAATAAGATAGGTAATAATAACATCAAGACTTCTGGATGTAATTGAAAGCGAACAAATCCAAAATGTACCATTACTGTTAGTTTTGGTATTAATATTAGCATAGTAATAGTTTAACCCCTTAAGGACACATGACATGTCTGACATGTCATGATTCCCTTTTATTCCAGAAGTTTGGTCCTGGGTTAAATAACTTTTTGGGTCCTGGGTTAAATAACTTTTTATACATTAAAACAGCCGGCAATAGTAATATTTTTCATTTACCCAGGAGGAAAAACCCTACAATAAACATGTATTTTTCTTAGTTACTAACACTTTCCATTTATATCGTCTCCGCCAACCTTTGGTATAAACACGTAAGATATAAAAAATAAATATTATGAAGACAGAAGCAGCTCTGGAATGTTTACGACATAATGTTTGCTTAAGGCCCTAAAAGGGTTAAGGGGACCTGGACTACATGTTGATGGGACATTTTCCTTCCCAGTACTTTTCCATTCACCCTTCTCGGATTCCTCCACTCTGACAGCTGCTTGGGAGGCACGTGACAAGCCATCAGCAGCTGTGACAAGACAAATCCTTTGCACAGGACTAAACAGAAGGAGTTTGTTAAGTCAATGACCTGACATCTCTGGAACGGGCTGGCAAAGCTCTGTGTAAATCAGGGTCACTAGAACAGCGGAGAGTGAAACATATTCTTGTAACTAGGAAAGATACTTTTTATATCTCTAATACAGAGAGTGATACTTATTCCTGTAATAGTGGACACGTTATATGTGTTTTATAACAGAGAGTGTAAAATGTTCCCATGACTACTAGACACTTTATTTGTTTTTTATAACACAGAGAGCTCAATTCTTTTCTTGTGACTGGTGGCTACTATGTCTTTCATAAAGCAGGAAGTGTAGCATTTACCTTTATGTATGTGATATATATCTTTTTTTTTATATAATTCTTTATTTTTGTCGTGCAAGAATTTACAACAGTGTCTGTGTAGCCACAACAGCTGTAACAGACGCAGTCAAATATAACATAGTAAAACATTTTCGTGGCGTTAGTTAACTCAGCACGTTTTTGTAATTTAGTAAACAGGATTAGGTCAAAGGGTATGTAAGGCATTAAATTAAACATTGCTAGTGTGTTTTCGAGTTAGGTGTAAGGACTGGTCTAGTGAAGGAGGTATGCATACATTGCTATATCATAGATAGGTCTGGTTATCGGAAAGCCTATATGTCGCAGCGGTTAGTTGCATTATATTTGGCTAACCCTTAAGGTTAACATGCTTTGTGAACACATTTATGTCATGCTTATTTTGTAAAGTTTCATCGCATTAATATCTGTCACGGTACCCTCCAGCATACACCAAGCATTATGCACTTATACACGTTGGGTCAAGTCGCTTATGTTAAGTAGGGTCATCGCACATTTTGTAGCGTTCTACTAGGAATTCTCTTGGTGTCCAAAACTGAGTGCGAAATATATAAGATTATAGAGAAAACAGACATATGTATAGACGCTTTTAAGTGACAGTAGCCTAGCTAGGGTAAAAATAAAACAATCTAGGAAATCTCAGGTCATCATAGGCAGCTTAAGGAGTCCCAAAGTGGTGACCTTTCTGGTTACCGGGTTTCAGTCCAGCATGGTTAGGAGTCCAGTAGTCAGGGTTTCATCCGATACCCGTTGTTGGTCTGCTCAGTGAGCCAGCATATAGCCTGGTGGGTTTGTTTAATCGATACCCAATGCTGGCAGTGTGCTTGCTCTGAAGGTTGTCGCACAGGATAAGCGTGGATGCAGCTGCAGCTACTGTAGTTGCCTCCAGGAGGGATAGGGTGGGCCTCAGGAGAGTGACGGTGCTTTCCTCAGGCACAAAGGAGTTTTTCCACCAAATATATATGCTGCAAACATCACCTTGTTTAGCCCAGTGTAGTGAGCCGACACATCCCTGGAGATGATTACTGTGGTGGTCAGATGGCGCTGGATGGTTTCATCTGTGTGCAAGTTCTATCCTGTGGGTAGTTTGCACTTGTGGCTGGTGTGCGGCGGCCATCTTGGGAGGGTGCTGCCGGTGAGTGTTTCCCAGCGGGGTGATTGCTTTCTGCCCAGCTTGGCGTACTAGCAGTTGAGTATGTAGATCGGGATGACCCCCCCGGTCCAGAGGGGGGGGGAGGGCCGGACACCAACCGGCCGTCTCTTCCCGGCTCAAGCTCCAACATGCCTCGGGCCGTTGTCGGGTTACTGTAGGCAACGGACAGGATCTTGAGGGGTTTCTCTTCGTACCCCAGGATCTGGGGCTCAGTTTAGTCTCCGTTGCGGGTTGCTGGGAAGATTTTGCCTCCAGTTTGCGCCGATTTTCCGGCCCCAAAGCGGGAGCTCAGACAGAGCACGTCTGATCCCGTCGGCGGTCCGGCCCCGCCCCTCGTGATATATATCTTTTATAATACAGAAAGTGTAGCAAGTTTCTCAGAACCAAATTAACTTGGGGGCAGGGCTGCCCATAGATAGATCTCCAGCTGTTTCAAAACTACAGCTTCCATGATGCTTTGCCAGGCTTCCAAGCACTGTCGGAGTTGTACTACTACAAAATCTGGGATACACCCTTTGGGCACCATTGTCTTAGAGGCTGTTAGAGTAAAAGCATCAGGCCCAGAAATTAGAGTAGGCCCAAGTTTCCTCAGTTTTCTAATGTGCTTGAATGCTGGGTTGCCGTCCTCAAAGTATGTGTCCAGGCAGGCATCCTTACAAGTTGGTGAAATTACATGATTGATGGTGGTTTTCCAAACTTCTTTCACCTTAATTTATTAGGATACACCTTTTCATTCTATGCAACTGTTTGGCATGGAATTCTTAATCTACTCCCTCATACTGTGAAGATATAATGGCATATCCCCAATACAGCAATTGTACAGATAAGTGATGAAGCAGGAAGATGCTATGTCACATACTTGTGCAAGTGCTGTAGCTTCAAAAACTATATAAGCTGTAACTATGACCTAGAAGAACAGACAGTGCAAGGAAAATGCCAACACCTAGATAAAGACGACAGTTGGAACGCATCATGCGCACGTCTTAAAAGGGGGATTAAGTTAGTGATAATCAAGAAAGGACAGCAGCATTCTACACCATTTTATGTGATGTGAATGTTACCCTGATAGCTTTTATGTAAGAAATATTTTGAACTACAGTTATTAACCTTTCTAACCATATTATACCTGATATAAGTCCCTCTTATGGTGGTAATCGTTGACATCGGCTCAGGTTTTACTAGAGAATATACTATTATGCTGTCAAATTTGAGTCGACATATAGGCTCAAAACCGTGTGAGTGAATTATACGTTTTATAAATTAGTTTCTTTTTGGTTTTCATTTTAAAGATATAAGTGTTTTATGGACAGGAAACCTCTTTGTTTGTATAGCATTTTTTTTTTTTTTTTTAAACCTTACCTAGCTTAAACCGTTTGGGACAGTGTTATTCTGTTACAATATGTGACTGAGCTATCAATAAACATTAATGTATAGATGACGTGCAGTTTTCCTCCTGACTGTACAAGAAGCCAGTATCTAGTCAGTCCTAGTAAGCCCTTTGTGAATAGACCATGCACAGTACTATTAGAAATGTATTGGGAATAAACCATGCCAGAGATAGCCTTGAAAGGGTCAGTAGTTAAATGCTAATCCATTAATTTGTCTTCCCACGGCTTCTCCTGTTGGCATGCACAGAATGTAAGATTTTCAGACCTGGCAGAGAATTCAGTGGCTAATCCTACTTAATTGCTTCTGTATAAAATCTATTAGGGCTCATTAAAATAAATGTCAAGCAATGCAGATCAACTTGAAAACAAGTTGTTTTTTTATATAGCTGTGCACAGTGTCCCTGGCATGTATTTAAAATTAACGAAGATTTAAAAAAAAAAAAAAAAAAAGCAATCATTACGTAGCGTAAAACATCACGTTTATAGAGTTTTAAACGTAGATTTGCAAACTAATGTATATTTTCAATAAGGTGCATTTCCTGACCAGTACATGTACTGGCCCTTTGCTCATTCTGACTGGCTGTATTACTTACAATAAAAACCAAAGAAAAAAAGTTACTTGCGAACTGTTCCAAATCCTTGTGCTTTTTATATAAATGAAGGCATTTAGTTCCACTCCAATGACCATTAGACGTAAGCCCACCTGCCAGGTCAAGGCAAACCTCTTCGGTGGATCCTACACCAATTCACCTTGCTCATGGGAAGGTCGGTAGAACTGTAACATGGCCGTGTCATACAAAAGGTAAATACAACTACACAAAAATAAGTCCTGCTCTCAAACTCCCACTACTCCTGGGCAGCAGCAATAACCATAGTATACATCAGCCCCAATACATACAATAAAAAAGGTTACGTGCACACTATTCCAAATACCTGTGCATATTTCTATAAATGGAGGTCTAACTTACTGGGGCTATTCAGGTAATATATGTAAATATAATGTCAATTTCCCATGGGGATCTAATCAAAAGAAACTGATTGATAGAGATCTGCCTGAAAAAAAAATTGAGGAAAAAGAGAAGATAGAATCTTTACCCAACTAAACTGTAGATTTTGTTTTCAATCTTTGAGGATATTTGGTCCAAATTGTACATGCCATTTCTTAACAAAATTCAAAGTTAATTCAAAGTGAATTTCACATTTTAAGCCAAAACAATCGAAATGGACTAATTCTCCCAGTCAGTTATACTCTCAGTATGCTTTCTTTGGCCTTAAATTTGAAATTCTCTTTAAATACCTCATAATTCTGACTTTAAAAAATAACTCTGATAGGTATCCACATGACCCACCGCAATGCCCAATGTTTGAAAGAACTGTGAATCTGGTTGATGATCTTCAGGTTTAATAATACGCTTCAATTGCTTAATGAATATGGATTGAATGTTTTCCTTGACTTCTGCAATCCACTTCTCAGTGGTCTTACATGCTCCCAACTTGCCCCGTTACAGTCTATAATGAATGCGGCGGTGAGGCTCATCTTTCTCTCTGCCCGCACCTCCCACGCCTCTTCCCTCTGTCAATCCATACATTAGATTCCTGTAAGATATAGGGCTCAATTTAAAATTTTTGTTCTTGCTTTCAAATCTCTACATAATGCTGCTCCAACTTATCTATCCTCCCAAATACACAAGTATGTCATCTAGGCCCCTACACTCTGCCGTAGGGGCCTATAGCTCCGGCTATATCCACTTAAATGTTTTAAGGATTTGGTGTGTATTTCTTTTCCAAAAGACAGAAACATGTATAAATTAAATATAAGAAGGAGGCCCCGATTGTGTAATATTGCTAGATAGTCAATACAAACAGCTAAAAACACTTTGCATTTATTCTGTAAGACAGAGAGCCCTTGAATAATAATCCTGGTCTCAAGGTTGGTTTTTCTGTTCTCCCTCAGTGTGTCATGCGTTGCGCTTCAGTCACCAAGGAATTTAGAATCTCCTCTTGATAGTACTTGTGAAGTGCTTCGCCCTCTGACATGAGCATCTTCTGACAAATGGCTTCAGATCTCTCTAAGCTTAGTAAGAGTCCTCCTGTTTCCCTCAAGCGGATTCTTTAGTCCAATTCCAAACTTAATTTGACTAATTAACTCTTAAAGTAGTGTGCATTGTATTTGATTGGTACCAGCATAATCAATAAAACCAATATTCCCTAATAACATTTATTTTGCCAAATTATAGTTAAAAATCATCACATTGCAAGGTCTTTATTGCTCTACTTGCATAACACTGATATTATAGTAATAAATTAAATGTACAATCAGTGTATGACTACCAAACATTGTTCACAGAATCAATTTAAATTTTTATTTTTTTCCCTTTGTGTTATAGTATATTTCATAAATCACAAATATTAAACAAACTAATTAAAAAATATATGATAACACTTTATAAAAATATGTGTATAGCATAAAATCTTATTTAATGAAATAAAAATCTAATATGAATTTATTTGTTGTATATAAATTAACCAACTTGATCCTAATTTGACCTTATATATTTGATGTTTATTTTTAGATTAATTAACATTAACATGCTAATTAATCAAATTAAGTTAAAAGATTTTACAAGGAAAGGTTAAAGGAACTTAACATGTATAGCTTGCAGGAAAGACGAGACAGGGGAGATATGATAGAAACATTTAAATACATAAAGGGAATCAACACAGTAAAGGAGGAGACTATATTTAAAAGAAGAAAAACTAACACAACAAGAGGACGTAGCCTTAAATTAGAGGGGTAAAGGTTTAAAAATAATATCAGGAAGTATTACTTTACTGAGAGGGTAGTGGATGCATGGAATAGCCTTCCAGCTGAAGTGGTAGATGTTAACACAGTAAAGGAGTTTAAGCATGCGAGGGATAGGCATAATGCTATCCTTACTATAAGATAAGGCCAGGGACTAATGAAAGTATTTAGAAAATTGGGCAGACTAGATGGGCCGAATGGTTCTCATCTGCCATCACATTCTATGTTTCTATAAGATAATTTGTTCATCTACTATTAGCATAATCCCCAAATTAATAAAAGATGTAAAAAGTTTATATATCAATTGATTTTTTTAATGCTAATAATTAATGAACATGAGTATTGATAATTTATTTTCACGTGATAATGGAATTAATTTAGGGTTACTGCAATTCTCCAACTATAGTATATTCCCAATTTGACTGTTTTGACCTACATTTTGGAAGTCCATTTTCCAATTCACCATTCCTCTTCTAGAATAATAGACTATTTTTTCTATAAATGAAACAGAAAAGCAATGATCTTTTGAAGTTGTGGTAAGGCTATATTTTTGTTAGTTAATTTAGCTTGGAGCACATGAAGTCACTTAACTGGGTCAGAAAGCAGAAGCATGACTATATCTGTTTTACA